AAATTCATCTAAAATCAAGCTCTACGCAATGAACCCATGTTTGAGTGCATTTATCTCTTTTGAATTTTCATTGCATCTTTGTGCTATTCTATAGACGTCGCTAACGCGACTATAATGCGATCGTTTGCAGACTCGGAGGAGAATCGGACGGACGAGGATCGTGAGTACCGTGAGGAGTACGGAGATGACTACACTGAAGGTGCCACATCCCACCCAATCTCGTAGCACCTATTACGCATGGCTAAAATAGAAATGCTAGTGCTTACTTTATTGTCATGATCACACTATGGTAGGACTTGCATGGTAGTATGCTTTCTTGATGGCATTTACCTTGACGCAACCTTACCCCTGCTCACCCTGCTGTTAGGCTAGTCACACGCTTGCTACTATATTTCATTGCTTATTACTTCTACTACGCTTGCACTACATTGATGCGTGGTGGAAACTGGTGTTATCTGGACTATGGGGAGAGTGCTGCGTGTGTGACTTGGGTGCGTGGAGGGTGAGGGTTGTGTCGACCAAGTTGGAGTATACGACGAGCCTAGGGCAAGTCTTGCTGTAGGGTGCTACCTGGGCACCCCTGGAATGGATACCTATGGTGGGTAAATGGTATATGAGGTGGCCCTGGGTGTGATCCTGTGAAGGGAGGAGCCTAGGGTGGAGGTGCTATGGTGGCACGGTAAATGGAAAGCCTGATGAAGACATTCTGGCTTGGTCATCCCTAAGGACTTACTAGTACTCAGATTCACCGGGAAGCCTTATGTACCACTCGCCCTATATGGTGCGGGACGGCCGGACTACTTGGTAGGGTATTGCCACTACTGCTAGGTTGATAGTGGATAGTGTGAGGGAGGTACGGGGTGTGGAGCATTCCCCCCACACCCTTCTGAGACTTCATGGAGACCTTGTGGACCCGGTTCATGACTCACAGTTTCAGCCACCCCAGACCGGACTTGGGGTGTACCAGGGCTGAATGGTAGAGTAGCATTATCCTAGGCTAGCAAGCAGCCGGAATCAGCCCAGTTGACGACGATCAGCGAGGAAGGCGGATCTTGTGGTTATGTAAAACCTCTGCAGAGTGTATGGTTGATCGATCGATACATATGCCGACTTGTCGGCTATGGGCCTTTCCTGGGTTTCGCTTAAACTAGATAGTGAGTTGAGTCCTTCTCTTCTCCCCCTGGGAGTGAGTGTTCGGACGTAACCAGGGGCTACGGGTCTTGAGACAGTGTCGAGAGGGAGTTGGCCTGTCGACTGAGCGATGGTATGGGTGTGATATGATGATGGTGTGGAGATGGTGGTATATCGATCCCAGGATCGAAACCTAGCTTTAGAATGGGAATGGGGTGGAATGGGTGTGGGAATGGTGTTAAAACTTGACCAACTATTATTATGAACTTGATATGCTAATACATAGGAAACCCCAGCCTTATAGGTTCCTTTTGATCATATCCAACTTGCATCCAATTTCCACAAAGCAATGCTCATAGGGTGGGAGTGGCTAGTACAAATCGTACTGATAAATTTTGGCACACAAGTTCTGCTGAGGAGTATAGCTCCGAGGAGTTTGACGGTTGAGGGGTTCGTTCCTACGCTCGAGTTTGGCGATCTTATGTTCAAACTGTTCTGATTAAATGCTACTTTTGATTCCGCCAATGCGGCGATGTAATAATTTATGTAATTCCGCACTATTTGTACTCTGATATTATCGTTGTATGGATGTGATATTCGACTGGAATTTGGGTAATATGATCTACAACGGTCTTATTACACTTCGACTCTGTGGATTTCCCTTCGTGGAAATCGGGGTCGCTTCAATAAAGGTGGTGACAACCCTGTCCATCATATGTATTCCACCACGATAGGCCTAGTTCTTAAATCATAAGGCTTATGGCAATTTGTCTAGTTAACCCCTCTTGTGTTAGCTAGGCGGTTGTGCCCCCGAAGTGTTTGTGTATCTCTCTAACTCTTGTTTGTCTAAATCTGCTATAGTTTATAACAAAGTTGTGCTTACAAGTAGAAGTTACATAGGACTCCTTTTCACTCACTCTCCCACCAACTATGCCGTTACTCCTCTATCAAGCCATCTTCTATAGTAATCAATTGCCTTTATCTTTGTCGCTACTAAACGCAATGTGCGCCGTAGTCGTATAAGAATTTAGCTCACAAGAAATTCTATTCTTCACTATCTTAACCATAGGCTTTCCCTATGGTAAAATACAAATACGACCTCAGAATATTCTTGGGCAAAGTGCTACATCGATATTTTTTGTGCTCTTGCCAAAACTTTCAATAGTCATAAGAAATATCAATATCCATCAAACCAAACTGCATTCCATCCATGCTCCACGTTGCTCCAAAGTGTGCTTTCTTACATGTGTTCGAAGCTGAGGCGGTGGAGCTTCCGGGCAGGTCGGGCGACCAGGGGAAGGGTCGGGAGGCCTGGGCCCTTCCCCTTCTATCTGGTGGACCCTTTGGTGGTGTGTTACTCATGGATGAAGTTTAGCATCAATTGGATTGTCGACTAAAGTTTGGCGGACCCACGGATCCAAGAGAGCATCTATTTCCACTATTTGATCTTCCACCGAAGTTAATCAATGGATGGATGGAATTGGACCTGTGCTTCTTCGACTTGGGCTAGCTTGGAGGGCTAGGAGGGCCTGCACTAGGATGGGTGACCCCTCCCCCTAATAGCCCAATTTGGCCCAAATTTGCTTGTGGGCCCTGCATGTTAGAGATTTTCCAATATATGCATATTTGGCCCAAAGTTGAACCATACAATCATGTGTTATGTTAGTGTTCATCTCAAAATGGCACTTTTGTTTACAATGAATGATGGTTAACAAATGTCAACACCCCCAAATTAGGGAGGCCTTCAAATCAACACCCTTAGCCCTCATTTCTGGGGACTCTCTTATTGGCCCCTACTTGGGCATTGAAGTTGTTAATCACCCACGCATGATTGGAAACCCACATGTGTGCCCTCCTCCGTGGCCACACATCACTGAATTGAGGCTTCTCACCACTGAATTGAAGTCACTCCACGTGTCCTTGTCGTGCTCAGCTGGTGCCACCTCATTGCGGCATGCTCTGTCGGGGCGACAGTGCTGCCTCACTCTATGCCCCGCTTCCTCGATGCCTCTCCACGCCACGCTTGATTAGCGCCGCCTCGCACCACGTTGCTCCACGTGAGGTTTTGGGAGAAGAGTGGAGAGATATCTGAACAAGGGGGAGTATTCTGTGGACCTGAGGTAGGGGGAAAACATTGGACTAATGTCTAGTGGGCCCTATTAATTTAAGGGCAGGGATGGAGAGGCTATTGAAGTAGATAGTTGAATTTAAGGGATCAAAAAATAGTGGAGCCCTCAAACCCTAAATAGGGACCCCGGTTTTGGGAGCCATTACTCACGTTGGTCTATGTATACTTTATATCCTATTTGCAATTATTTTTTACTTTATTATTTTTGTGACTTTATCTATAAAACAACATCCTACATGACCATGTTTCGTTTAAGAAAAATAACAATAACATGTGGCATACTCATAGCTATACTAGAAAGCTGGCACGCTAACCAAATACTCTTAGCAGGTTCAAAATTTGGCAATGAGGCTGGGTAGCAAACTAAAAATCATTTCTAGCCCTAATTTTGTCACTGCCCCAACTTGCTCATGACCAAGACTTGCTTGGCTTGTTAGGTTAGTACATGGGCGCATTTGGTACAACTCTGCTTGACTAGTACAATAACTTATTTTGACTTCGGCTTGAGAAGCAGTCCTACAAGTGTAGCTGAATTGTTTAGAAAAAAATGTTTGGTAAAACAATTTCTCATGGTAGATAGAAATAGTAAAATATCTATAATATCCTTTCTCCCTTTTTTCTCCTCTCATGTTTAGTTTCTCGCACTATCGCCTGCAACACTGGTGCGCAAAAGTAGATCTTACCTCGCTAGCAACCCACAGAGCTAGTGGAAGCTCCTTTTTCAGTTTCACCACGTGACAACGGGATGTGAGACTATGTTTCTCGGGATACATGTGAGGAGCAGCTATAGTTTCACCCGTTCGGTACGTTAACCTGCAAAACGGCTCTATGGGCAGTTGTTTCTCGCACCGTCGCCTACGACATTGGAGTGCAAAAGTGGATCTTACCTCGCTAACAGCCCACGAAGCTAGTGGAAGCTCCTTTTTCAGTTTCGCCATGTGACAACGGGCTATAAGACTATGTTTCCCTAGATACACGTGAGGAGCTGCTACGGTTTCTCGTTTGGTATGTTAAGAGCATCTCCAACCGTCTTTTAAAATCTTACTCTCTAAATCATCATTTGGAGAGCCATTTGCATAAAAATCGCTTTCTATATCTTTTCACTCCTCAACAATTTTTCTATATTTCATGCGCACTCTAGAGAGCCATCTTGTCTTCTAATTTTGGCTAGCGAAAAATCCAGAATAGAAGATGACTATATTTGGATGACCATTTAGAAAAATTGTTGGAGGATGTTTTTCAATAAAACCTCTATTCCTATCATTTAGAAAGAATCCGAAAAGTCTCTTGCATAACTTAAAAAAAACGGCTCTACGGGCAGTGGTAGAATCTATACCAAACACGTCCTATGGCCGGCCTATTCGTTGGTTGGTGCTGGTACTGGTTTAACCTGACTGGTGCTGGTTTTTTATGAGAGAAAAACACCGTTGGCTGACTGTTTTGGCTGGCTGAAACCAACCAGCGAACAGGTCTGCAAACATGGCTACTCTTCGTCATGGGTGGAAGGGCATTTCAGTCATTTTGATTCTCGGGTTGGGTCGCGTACACACGCCACGCTGGATTAGACTCAGCGCGCAGCATTCATTCAGCTAGCGAGCGAGAGAGAAAGAGGGGAATAGAAAGGAGGGGGCGAGGCGGCCGGACAGGGAGCCGAGCGCAAGAGCTCAGGCTTCGCCGCGAAACCCCAGACCTCGCGCCGCCCCTTCCCCTCCCCGGCGTCGTCCTCGCTCTCCGATCCAAGATGGTGAGTATCTACGACCCACCCCTGTTCTGTTCGTACCGATCCCCCCGATTTTCTCGCCGTTTTTAGTGAGATCTTTTGGTATCTGAATCGGTTTGTGCGGGAATCGCTCCCTTCTATGTTCCCTCCACGGTTTCGATTCGTGGGTTAACTGGTTCAGTCTGATGTGTGAACTGTTAGAATCTGATGTTTATTTTTTCTTTTAAAAATGATAGCTGATTATGTGTGGTGTGTGTGCACTGTACAGTATAAGCTGGGGAGAGGAAACCGCGACAAGGTGCAGCAGTTCATGACCATAACCGGCGCCAGGTATGGTTGTTTAATTGATGTTGAAATTGGAACGAATTATTGTGGCCATTGGCAAGGTAGCTAGTAGCTTAGCTACATGACATCTTAGTGGTTAATTCGTTGGTCGAAATCTTACTGAGATTGTGCATCATATAATAGTTTAAGATGCACTAAAATTGCTACGATCCATGTATGATATGCTTGTTTGGTCTACTGTGGATACGGAATTCAGTGCCTGTCATAATATTGTTCTTCTAAAATCCTGTAGCAGTTCTAGGCCATCCACCTTTTATCAAGTACACATATAGAAATCCATTTTGTTGCTTTCTATGCGGTGCTGCATTCTGTCTCATTCTTGTGTATGCATATACCTGCACAGAAATCCTACTAGCTTTGGAATGCAAATTTCAAGTGTACTAGGCACCTTAAAGTCTTGCTTTTAACAATGGCGCCATAATATGAATCATTTTGGTTGCTCTACAATATAGATATCTAGACTAGATGAATTTTTATAGCTGGCAGTCCTGAAAGGATGTCCTTTAGAAAACTTCAATTTAAGTGCATAGGACATATTGATCAGGAATATAAAAATACATGCAACCCCAAGGTTCCAGTTATATAACACAAATTTAGTGAGCAATTTTTATCACCTAATGCAGTGAGAAGGTTGCCCTTCAGGCACTGAAAGCTAGTGATTGGCACTTGGAAGGAGCTTTTGACTTCTTCTATAGCCAACCTCAGATTTCTGCGGTCAATACTCGGCATCTTGAAGATATTTTCAACCGATATAAAGGTATCAGTTTCCATTGCCTTAACTAACCTTTGAGATCTTAATTTCCTTGGTGTTTACCTGATACATTTGGATTTTCATACACTGTTATGTACAATGCTATACTATAAGGTCCATAACACATACATTGCACTGTTAGGAAAAAAAAATGCTCTCTTACCTTTTTTTCATTTTCGAATTAGGACTTCATTGTGTATTTTGTTTTTGTTGGCAGAACCTGATGGTGATATGATCATGGTGGAAGGAATATCTCAACTTTGCAATGATCTGCAGGTAATGAGCATTTATTTTCATCTGTAAATAGCCGTTCACCATATTCTCACTTCATTTGCAGCTGTAGGAATGTGTAGTGCTTAATCCATTTGATTGCAAATAGAAAAGAAAATATGGGCATTGATATAGTTTGTGAGGTAGCATTTTAATGGTTAATTGCTACCAGATGTTTTTAGATTTTAAATAGTAGAGCACTACTATGAAGCTATATATGGATAGACTCAACAATACCAATTTTGTGTGGCCAATCCATATACCTTTGTTTTTCATTGATATGCAATCCTGGAATTTCCTGTTGAAATGGACCTCAAGCAATGTGTGTATAGGGGGACAGTGTATCAGTTTAACATAAATTTAACGTTGGACAAACCCTTAATTTTTGCTTCAATTATTATGGTTTATCTCAAATGTTGTTGAAGAGACAGATGTCACTGGCAGTCTTGGTTTTCTTTGACACTAGGGATCAGGTTTTATTGAATTTTGCTTGGCTTTCTTGTTTGTACATGTCGGTTTATTGGAGTATTGCACTGTGCCTGTCTCTTGCAAGTGATTTAGCGTGTTGTTTGGTTTGTACGTCCGTAACGCAAATGGAAATAAAATTAGTTCAAATGGTATGTCTTGCCGTAATATCCACAGCTTTAATTCGTTTCCATTTATGTTACCAAAGCTACAACCAAACAACACCTAGGCTGGATTATGACTTGTGAGTTTTGAGTTTGGAACTGCCATTTACTAGCATCTATATCTCGTGAGGGTTTGGAAAACACAAATTGCTGCTTATATAAGTTGCCATTTATTGTGTTGAAGGGAAGGTGCTTGTAACACATGCATTTTGTTTTGTACCTTATACTACCTATTAGTGGTACCAACATTCCATTATTTCTGATGCATATATTTCATCTTTATTTTACAGGTGGATCCACAGGATATTGTCATGGTATGTGATTAGCTTCTTCTGAACTGACTTGTTTTTACTAAAAGTTTGTTTGCAAATTAGTTCTGTGGCAGAGAGTAGTGTGGAATGGTCTGCTGGAGCTACATTCAGTTCTATCTTATGTTGCATAGTGTTTGCACGGAATTTTTCGTAAGTTTGCAATTATATGCCTTTAGTAAGTTTGCACGAGAACCAAGTGATAACTTGGTTGGTAGAGCATCTAGTTGAGGGGTTGCTAACCTGGGCTCGAGCCCGGATGCGTGTATGTCATGTGAGTACCTTCCAAAAGGGTTAGGTACTCCCCTTTCTTAAGACAGCCAAGTGGACGTCTTCTCTCCATGGTCAAGTTTTTTATGCTTATTCTATATTTAAATAAACATGACCATCTTTGGATCATTATTGCTCCTAGTCATATAGTCATGTGTGCTGTTAACAGCTTGTCATATCATGGCACATGAAAGCCGCCACAATGTGTGAATTTACTCGTCAGGAATTCATTGGTGGACTGCAGTCAATTGGGTGAGTGCTGTCTGCAGTTGCGATATTCCCATATGAAGTTGATCCCAGATCCTAGGTTGTTCATTATATAGTTCCTTTTTAGTAAGTTTTGTTGGTATTTGCAGGGTAGATTCAATCGAGAAGTTTCGTGGAAAATTACCATCATTACGAGCTGAGCTAAAAGATGACAGTGAGTTTCCCTTATTTCAGGCAAAACTTTGATTATGTTTGGCTTATTAGAATTTAGATGTGGCCATGGTTATTAAGGCGTCACTTCAGCATTGCTTAAGCAGCGGAGCGGTCCAGGCTCCAGGGTTGCCTCAGGGCAAAGGTGATGCCCTGTGGCCTTATGCGCATGCTGATGCCCCTTTGGTTCCGCCTTCTCCTTGTCGATTCAGCTGCTGGCCCGCTCGATTTTGCTTCTGCTGGCTTGATTTCTTCCATCTCCCGCTTGTCAATTGCTCAATCTGGAAGGGGACGGCGGTGGCTGTTGATCTGAGAGCGCTGACCAGTGAGGGAGGGGAAGTAGAGGGGCGGAGGGAAGAGCAGAGCAGCGCATCCGGAGAGAGGCGGAGGGAAGCAGAGCAGGCATCCGGGCGAAGGTGGAACGGCAGAGAACGAGGGAGATAAGAGAGGGAGGGATTGGGATCAGGATCGGGAGTTTGATGAAGCCACTTCAGGACGGGGAGGGGCACATGAGCTGTCAGGTAGGCTGGGCGAGCCCACTTCTTACTTAAGGCGGTATAGTCAGTCGCCACGTCTCGCCTTACCGCCTTGATAACCATGGATGTGGCCACTTGATAGTTCGAAAGCTTTTCTCCAATGTATGTGAAGTCTGCAGCTCTGCATTCATGGCAAATGGATTTCCTTTACTTGAGAATTACTCCCTCTGTCCCTTTTTATCTGTCGTTCTCACTTCCCAAGAAGTCAAACATACTTAACTTTGACTAAATATATAAAAAGGAAACATTAATATTTATAATACATAATTAGTATCGTTAGATAGATCGTTGAATCTATTTTCATAATAAATTTATTTAAGATACAAATATTGCTAATATTTTCTACAAACTTATCAAACTTTAGAAAGTTTGACTGACATCCACGGCAACATTTAAATAGGGACTGAGGAAGTATAGATATTTAGAGTGAAATGATGTTTTCTTATTCATCTCTAATCAGTGTGTTTACACTTACCTCTCCAGATAATTTCCGTGATATATACAACTTTGCATTCACTTGGGCAAGGGAAAAGGTTAGCCCATATTTCGTCCAGTATTTATAGAGGTTATTCATATTTGTATGCTGTTGGAAAATTCATCTTTATTCATCAAATAGTATAATACTATTTTCTGTATTTTTTTAACATATTCCCTTATTTGACAGGGCCAAAAGTCTCTCTCACTGGAGACTGCTATTGGAATGTGGCAGTTGCTATTTGCTGAAAGGAACTGGCCTCTTCTCGAGCATTGGTGTCAGTTTTTACAGGTATAGCTGAAGTCAAAGGCAGTTTGACTAATTTCATTATCAGAGTTGAAGCATCAGGTTCAGGTGTTACTTTTCTCAAAGTTAAAGCATAAGGTGTTACTTGTTCCTCATCTTGAGCTCTTCAAATTTCAGGTCAGGCACAATAAAGCCATATCTAGAGACACATGGGCCCAGCTGCTGGAATTTGTAAAGGTACTTCACTACTTTTGTCTATTTTACCTCCCTTGCAAGTGGAACTCCAGCTGTAGCTTGTGGTTAAATTAGATGCCCAGTTCGAATGCAAATGTATTCCATTTAGATGGTCAGTTTATGCCACTACAATCTGACAGAAAACTTTATTGATATGATTGAGATGTATTCCATCTGATTGAGGTTTATTAGCTTTAGTTGCTAGGTAGTTTTAAAATCTGTGTTTCTTAAGTCTTGTTCATTCAAGCTAAGCTCTGAGCAGCTGAATCGCCCAGAAGCAACATGCAGTTTTGTTCATCAGTAATAGTAATTCAGTATGTCACCTATTAAGTTCAAGAGGTTTCCATGTTTTTCTTGAAGAACTCCTTGCCGTTATGCTGGCTTTTGCAAATTATGATTATTATTTTGTTTTCTCGCAGACGATCGATCCACAGTTATCCAACTATGACGACGAAGGTGCCTGGCCCTACCTCATAGACGAATTTGTGGAATACCTGACTGAGAATGGATTCGTCCAGCGTAAAAGATGAACAACGGGGAGGCTTCCTTCTCCAAACAATGGTTGGGCTGTACAAACATGATTTATCTCTGTCGGCACGACGCCCAGGACCCGATGTTGGCACTCCTGCTCAATCCATTCACCAAACTGTTGGCATATCATTGAATTTGCTTATAAACGCGGGGAGACAACTCTTTAGCCTGGGAAGTGGTGGCTGTCAGCCTGCGATCGTGAACTGGAACTTATCGAGAATGCAATGGAGAGTTTGGGACTCATCGTTTCTATCTCCTCTCCTCCCAAGTCTAGCAGGAACGCTCGACACTTTGCTTAACTATTTGCCTTGTTGATTGGTGCTGTGCGCCTGTGCCCTCGGGACTCGGCTATTGTTGTTTCCCACGAGTAATGATAGGACTCGCTAGGGTTTATTTCTGATCTCTGATGAGAGTTGGGGATAAGTTCGATTTGGGGTGGTTGTATCAATGGTATTCACGGCCGGCCACCTTGCGCGGTTACATCGGAGTCGGCGTATGCCTCCAAAGTCCGGACACAGCCGCCCGGTCGACGGTGGGGGTCTCCTGTCGCGCTTAGCAGTTTGCCCCATTTGGTGGATTTGCATTTTAAAACAATTCAATTGGATTGGATCGAACATTATACATTTATTAGTATTGGATTGGACATTAGACATTAGTATCGCATTTGGATTGGATGTTAATTTTTTTTTCCTTTTGATTCAGTTGCAATTGTCCATTGGATTTGGATTCTAATCTATTAATGCCTCCATTTGTTTTTGGAGCAAATATTATTACCTCCAGTTGCCCTTGGTTTTAGCTTGGAGTCAGTGGCGCGGCCCATCGGCAGCTTGGGCGGCTTGGCCTTTTGTCCTCGTCCGTCCTGAATCTCACCGGCCTGTGTCGTTTTGGTAATTGGAAGCTTGAAGGTAGGAACAATGGAAATCTTTACGGGTTTTCTAAATAACTCTTGGATGATACCGTGTCATGTTTTCATTCACTTTTGTGTGGTTGAGATTGTTTGTAGATTCGTGCACTTTTTTCTGTGTTTTTTAATTGTTGGGCGCATAACGACGGGCTCATTTTTGTGTTTACACGGCCCAATTAAGTCCAACACATGTTACGAGCTTTCAGTGCCGCTTAATTTTTGACGATTTTTTTTTCTCCTGCTCGATTCAGACACCTTGCTGTTCGACGGAGGAGAGACGGTCCGCTTGCTGCTTGGCGGAGGCGCCGGCGCCGGCGCCGGCGTCGCCGTCGGCAAAGGATTGTGCTTCTCTCATCGTCTTCGTTGCTTACTGAAGCTGTACAGGCGTACTGTCATTCGTGTCTCCCAGGTGATTTTAGATTTCATTCGTTTTGCTTCGTCAAAAATTTTGTGTGCGCAGACACATGGGGCAAAGGGTGTATCAAGGGAAGGTGGATGAGTTAGACTAGGTGGCCAAAAAGTTGTGGGCGTGAGGAGAGGAGGAGCGTGCCAGCGCCCGCTACCTGAATGTAGTTGGAGCATAGGCTGTTGGAGAGGTTCAGGGAGCAGTGGTCTGATTCCTGCGACTTTGCTTTTTTGTGTTTATTGCGTGCAGTAGCTTGAGCTCCGAAGGCCCCTGTGAGGCTTGTCAGTTGCTCCACTACTTTAATTTCTATCACATCGGATGTTTTGATATATATATAAAGTATTAAATATAGGCTAAAAAAATAACTAATTATACAGATTATGACTACTTTGTAAGATAAATTTTTTAAGTCTAATTAGTCCATGATTTGACAATGTAATACTACAGTAAACATATGTTAATGACGGATTAATTAGGCTTAATAAATTCGTCTCGCAGATTCTGATGACTTTTGTAATTTATTTTATTATTACCATCCAAGCATTTCCATGTGACACCCATGTGACATCGATATGACACCCCTAAATTTTAGCCCTTGCATTTAAACAAAAAAAAAGTGCTGCTGCTACACAAAAGGTGATTCTGATAAAGTATTATTGAGTAGTGATTGGAATCCTGCTAAGTGGTAGATAAGTTCATTAAGGTCCTGTTTATTTTCTTGTGCTAAAGTTTTGCCCAGCACTTTTAGCCCATGTTTTGGGCAAATGGGTCTAAACAGCTTGGGCAAAAAAGAGCAAATCCAGGACCGCTAAACTTTTGCCATTTGCTACCCAAGTGGCCCAAAACTGGGCAAAAACACCTGGGGGTGCGAGCTGGACGCCCACTACCCCCACACCCACCCATCCCGCTCGGGTTCCCTTATCCCGCTCCCACCCCCGCCGCTTTAGCTCTCTCCCTCCGCGCGAACCCTAGCTTCGCCCCCCGCTCTCGCCCGTCGCCGCCGCCGCCGCCTAGATTCAGCTCCTCCTCCCCGGCACGTAGCTCCAGCTTGTCCTCCCCGTCGCTAGATCTAGATCCACGCGGCGCAGATTGACAGCTACAACGGCGACGGCGACTGCATCAGGGACTTTCTATCGCAACCTGAACCGTATTCCCCCGCTGGCTGCTATGACATCTCCTCCGACGCGGCATATCCCTATCTGGGCTCGAGCGCCGTCAGTGCTCTCCGGATGGGCATGGCGGCACTCGACCTCAACTCACAGGGCGAAGGGTGGCCCAGAATGGTAGGCTATCAGGACCTCCTTCGCTTCGGCACGCAAGATGGAGGTATCTGTAGCAGCATGGCCCCCCCTCCCGTTCGCGTCTGCAGCGGCAGTCGTACCTTCGGCTTACGCGCGGCTCGCAGTGGCGGTGGAGGAGGCGCCATGGCCGGTTACGCCATGTCGTCATCCTCCAGTGGTGGCCGTGGCCCTCCCTTTCCTCCTGTGACCACCGACGTTCGTGCCATGCATGGATCTACATCCGGCGTGCCTGCCAGATCGAGGAGCTGAGGTGGACGTCGATGACCCGTGACGAGTGCTGTTGCGGCAGACAACTTTAACCCCAGGATGCTGCTGAAGACGACGAGATCGAAGAGATCTTTCCGAACGCTCAAGGCCCAGTACATTCTCAAACCTAGAAAAATATGATTGGTGTTGGATTTTGCCGTTTTCATAATGTATGTACGTATTCTTGTTATGCATGGATTAGGCTAGAACGGACAAGGGAAATTGATCAGAACCAAATGCCAAAATACTGTGTGATTTGTGTGTTGACCAAATTAACAAGGGTAACTGCATCAAAGGAACCATGAACAAGACATGGATGAGGGAGATAATAGGAAGGTATCATGCAGCAACCAATTTGGTCCATGATAGGGTGCAGATAGCTAACAGGATTAGGCAACTGAAGGGCTACTAACAAGTCATACAAAGACTGCAGAATGACACTGGCTTAGGGCGTAGAGATGATGTCACTGTTGATGCCACTGATCAATGGTGGGAAGACAACACTAAGGTACTTGCCAAACTGCTTGTTTGTTGTTTGACATCTAGTTAGCTGTACACTTGCTCACATTGATAAGTTGTGCAGGGCCACCCAGACTGGAAGAAATGCAAGTGGGGATGGCCAGAGTACATAGACCAATTGGAACAAATGTTCCAAGGTGTAGCTGTTGATGGCTCAACCTCATTTGTTGCTGGAGAAAGTGTCACTGTGGATGAGGAAGAGGAGGAGGAGACAACTGAGGATCCTGATGTGCACACTCCAGTTAGCATCGGTAGCCACAAGAGAGCAAGCAGCACAAGCACCACTGGCTCTAGTCTGCGCAAGAAGAGCCCATCAATTCGGGCCATGAACAAGTACATGAGCGACAACGCTAAGATTGAAGCTGAGAGGAATGAGTACTTCAAGCAACATTTGGCAGCAAAGCAACAGAAGGAGGCTGCCAAATATGAAAAGATTAGGCTAGTGCGGAAGTTGGCTAGAGAGTGCGGTGTAGAGGAGACAAACCGACATATGTGGTTTGCTGTGCACATGATCTGCAATGAAGAAAATAGTATGGAGTTCTTCATTGGAACATCTACACTAGAAGGAGGGCTGGCCTTCATTGAGCACTATGCCAGGGTTAACCACCTTATCTAGATCCTATTATCTTAACTTCAGTTTGTCTTTTGAACTTAGCATGTCATTTGAACTATGTATGTCATTTCACTAAGTGTGTGATTTGAACTATGTCATGTCATTTGAACTTATGTCATGTTGTACTGTGTGACGACTTTGAATTATGATTGTGATGTGAGCATGTGCACTTTCTACTAGAATATGTAACTGAGTTTGTGATGCATTAATGTGTCAGGATGATAATTCAGCAAGGGATGGGGACAATTCTGATGAGTCAAGTGATGAGGAACTATTCAATCTACTTGTTGATGATGATGATAGAGAATTTATGGACCACTACTACATGATTGATTTTGCGTGGCGTTGCACTTTAATTAACGGAGGCGGTCATAAAATCCAATCGCCTCAGAAAATGCTAGACGATTAACGGAGGCGGGCATTTTTATTTACGGAGGTTGTCGCTTTCGCCCGCCTCCAAAAATGGATTTATGGAGGCGGGCGTCTTAAGACAACCGCCTCAAAAAATAGACTATTTTTGGAGGTGGTTGTCTTAAGACACCCGCCTCCATAAATCCATTTTTGGAGGCAGGCGCACTATAATGCCCGCCTCCTAAAAAGGCCGAGGCCCAATAAGACCAGGCGAGGCCCAATAGCTCTTCATATATATACCTCAACTCATGGTTCGGTGGCTTCCTCCGCCATTCGGCCGAGCGACAGCCTCCCTCACTTGTCCTCCCTCTCTCTCCTAGGCCCAGGCGGCGGCCTTCCTCACTCACTCGTCCTCCCTCCCTCTCACTCACCCGTGCAGATCCGGCGTCCTCCTTCCCTCCCTCTCCGTCGGCGGCGGGCTCCCACTCGACGTCGGGCTCGCCGCGCCTCCTCCGCTTAGATCTGCCTTAGGTACGACTCCCTCCCTCCTTCCCTCCCTCTCCCTCGGTAGCGCGCAGCAAGGAACGCACGAGCGGGCAGATCTGGTGGCTCCCTCCCTCGTTTTCTCCTCTCCATCTCGCTCACCCTCTCTTCATGGCAGGACGGCGTGTCCAGCAAGAGCAGCGGCGGCGCGTTCGCAGGACGAGCAGCGATGACACGTTCGCATGAGGAGCAGCGGCGGCGGTGCATAGGTGCTCGGTGTGGAGGAGGACCAACGGTGCGGCGGCGTGGCATGGATGCTAGCAGCCCAGATGCGGCAGCGTGGGGGCGACGACAGCGGGCTCGATTGGGCTCGACCGTGGGCTCGATTGGGCTTGCTCAAGCTTTTTTTTTTATTTTTTAAAATGATTAACGGAGGCGGGCGCCTGCCTCCATTAATGGATTAAACGAGGCGGGCAGGACAACCGCCTTTGTAAAGTCACAATTAACCGTGACCTTTGATTGGAGGCGGTTGCAATGCCCACCTCCATTAACCCTTTTTGCCCGCCTCCAATAAGATTTTTGTAGTAGTGGACGGTATGCTTTTGTTTGCTATTCACTATGACAAATACTGCAATAGGGCTAAGAGAATTAAACCAATGATAACTAGACTGGAATGGGTAGAGAGAACTCTAGGAGATAGAAATAGATGCTACAACATGTTTAGAATGAGCCCAACTGTGTTTCATCGACTTCATGATATGTTGGTTGAGTCATATGGCCTCAAATCAAGTACCAAGAGTACCTGGTGGAGGCTTTAGGAATGTTCCTCTGGATACTTGGAGCACCACAGTCAGTTAGGCAAGCTGAGGATAGATTTGAGAGATCACTAGGCACAGTTCACAACAACTTTGAGAAAGTTTTGCAATGTGTGGTTAAGCTAGCTGTAGACATCATTAAGCCAGTTGACCTAGAATTTAGAACAATTCATCATAGATTGAGAAATCCTAGGTTCCATCCCTTCTTCAACAATTGTATAGGAGCACTAGATGACATTCACATACCATGTGTGGTGCCAAGTGATAAGCTGGTTCAGCACATGTGCCGCAAGGGCATGACAACACAGAATGTGCTGGCTATTTGTGACTTTGACATGTAACACCCCTAGTGTTACGAGCTTGTTTAGCGCCAAGATTTAGGCCTAAGAAAATCATCGAAACGAGTTTCTCAGATTTTTTATTTTAAAACACACTTGAAATGATACACAAATCTTATGTGGCTCACTTCTCTGTGTGTGAGAGAGGGAGTCAAATAAATATAGTGAGTTAGTTTACTAAAATGCATATATGTGTTAATGAAAAATCCTAACGCGAAGAGCAGAATATGTAGTTTTAAACATTGGCACAGAAGCAATTTTTATAAACAAAAATCAAATATAACTTGTATGTAGTACTTGAATAAAGTTAGAGTATAAGTGCAGTAGATGGAAATGCAACATTAATTTTGAAGAATAAATACTGTTAGCTAGTATTTTGGGAGCTCATAAATCAAACTTGGAATTAAGATGAGTCATTTTCGTTGTCGGACAACACTTGAACTTATGTTTAAAAGTACCATTTTTGGTGAATTATATTGAGCAAACTGATTAAGTAGTGCGTAGATATTTGTTCTTATAAGTGGTATAAAGTATGGACTATTGCATGAGATATTTGTTAGTTGAAAGTAACAAGGTTTAGACCTTTTAAAAATTAAGGTGAAAGTGCTAGGGAATGTTAGTTCTAACTGAACCCTTGAATTCCCTAAGTCTGAAATGATAATAGACAATGCCATGTTGGCATTTAAATTCTAACAAAAATGATTAAGCCCTTGATCCATGTTCTTGCACTATTGGTTGCGTCAAAGTGTGTACTTGAGTATGGTGAAGGTTATAGCCATGTTGGGTGTCATGTTGTACTCGTAAAAATAGCTCAAAACTCCTTAGAACGTGCGGTGGATCATGTTTCGGTGCTCTGTTCGCGGACTGGCGTTCGGCGTGACAAGCTCATGTTGGCATGCTTCTATCCCCCTCTCTAGTCGCTCTCGGGACGTGAGATTTGCTTCGCTAGTTAGTGGATAGTGCTGGCTTTGGGTTAGAGTAATTGGTTGAACCTTAGTCAAGTTAATCGACAGTTTTGATTCGCTTTAAAACTCACGCACGTCACCACTTACTCTTGTTCGGCATGAGCCGTGGTCACGGTCCACGTGCGAGCGCTGCTGGTGCCGACCTCCAACTATGTCCAGGCCACTGCCACTGGTCGGCTCGAGCGTCAATCGGTGCCTCGCGGCTTCCGTGTCCCGGCGTTGGCCGGTTCCGGCTGGTCGTGGCCTGACTCCTGCTGCCGCTGTGCCGCTGGGCCGGGTCGAGGCGACAATGGCATCACTGGGCTAACGTGGCGCTCCTCCCACCCTCCTGAAAGGTCCTAATATGGCTAGAGGGGGGTGAAAGCTCTAGTTTGGTTTTGGTGAATTGATGAAACCCTAAGTGCTAACCTAGTTTATCAAGTGATAATGAGATAGGTGGCACACTCCAAGTGGTGAAGCAAATGAAGATCATAGCATGATAAAGATGATGGCATGGTGATGATCAAGTGCTTCAACTTGGAAAGAAGAAAGAGAAAAACAAAAAGCTCAAGGCAAAGGTATAAATTATAGGAGCCATTTTGTTTTGGTGATCAAGACACTTAGTGAGTGTGATCACATTTAGGATCGATAGCCGTACTATTAAGAGGGGTGAAACTCATATCAGAATGCGGTTATCAAAGTGCCACTAGATGCTCTAACTCATTGCATATGCATTTAGGATCTAGTGGAATGCTAACCCCCTTGAAAATGTTTGTGAAAATATGCCAACACATGTGCACAAGGTGATACACTTGGCGGTTGGCACATTTGATCAAGGGTGGTGAAGTTTGGGTGCAAGGGTAAGAAACTCCACCGGCGAAGTGTCCACCCATAGAGTGCGTACAGTCCAACAGTGCCACCGGGGCCCTAGACAGAAAAGACGGAGGTCACTGTGAGTGACCGAATGCTGGCCTCGGTTGGACCAGAGCGTCCGGTCAGTGGCAGTAGAGGACGTGCGTTTCGGTCTCATGACCGGACGTTGGGTCGCTCAGCGACCGGATGTTGGCGGGGTGCGTCCGGTCAGTGCTGACGTACGCTAACGTAGGGCGTACAGAGGAGACGTTGTGTGACCGGACGCTGGCCGTGTCCGGTCGGGAAAAATCGTGTTCGGAACCTTACTGGAAACGACCGGATGCTAAGGTCCAGCGTCCGGTCACTTTCTAACTGACGCGACCGGTCAGCAAACGACCATTGAAATCTAATGAATAGTATTTGAAGCAGGGGACACGTGGGATGAATCACGTGATCGGACGCTGAGGGCCAGCGTCCGGTCGATCGGACCGGAGTGTCCGGTAACCCCGCGTTGTGCCCAGTGAAGGGGTACAACGGCTCTATTTCGTGGGGGCTTCTATTTAAGCCCCATGGCCGGCTCAAGCTCACTGTCTTGGCCATTTTCATTGACATAGCAATCTTATGAGCTTAGCCAAAGCCCTCCCACTCATCTCCATCATTGATTCATCATCATAGTGAGTTTGGGAGTGATCCAAGTGCATTGCTTGAGTGTTTGCATCTAGAGGCACTTGGTGTTCGTGTTTCGCTGTGGGATTTGCTTGTTACTCTTGGTGGTTGCCGGCACCTAGACGGCTTGGAGCAGCGAGGATTGTTGAGCGGAGGGTGGTGATTGTCTCCGGCTCTGATCGTGGTGATTGTGAGGGGTTCTTGACCTTTCCCCGGCGGAGCGCCAAAAGGTACTCTAGTGGATTGCTCGTGGCTTGTGTGATCCTCATCTTGTGTTGGTTGTGCGGCACCCTATTGAGGGTTTGGCGTGTGAGGCCAATTAGCGCGTGAACCTCCAAGTGAGTGAATCACCACAACAAGGACTAGCTTGCCGGCAAGCAAGTGAACCTTGGTAAAAATCATTGTGTTCATCATATTGATTCCGAGGTGATTGGTCTTCATCGTTATCCACACTTGTGATTGATTGGTTCATACATCTACACGGCGGTATAACCTTCTTGCCTACTCCTTACCTTACCGCAAACTAGTTGTCAAGCTCTTTAGTGTAGCTAGTT